AGAGGAATGAGAGTGAAGACTGACCAGAAATGCCCTTGGAAAGATAAGTGTCCCTCCCCCCCGTGTAACAAAATCAGGCACTTTGGTAACAAACAGCTCTGAATGTATAAAAATGCAAAGTGCGACATACTCATTCAGGAGTTGCTCACAGATCATTACTCGCACGCAGATGAGTAAATTAATGTTAAATACTGAGGCTGTAGTAGACCAGAGCAGATGCTGCACACTTTTGTTTTATAAAGGATTGGACAGAGAGGGAGTCCAATACGTATGGCTGTGATGATGTCAGCGTTTGCGAGCTCTTAGTGAGTGTTGGGAGGTGCTGCCTTTCATGGCGGACACGCCACGGTACGGCACGGCACGCTACGGCACGGCACGGCACGCTACGGCACGGCACGCTACGGCACGGCACGCTATGGCACAGCGCGGCTGCCCGCTTCTGCCTTTTGCCGTGTTCCTGTTCTCCCCTGGGATTCCTCTGCCTGCTTTCAAAGGCGTTCCAGCGGCATGATACAAGCATACCATCAGACGGCAAACGCCAAAAGATCTAACAGAACAGACAGGAACATGAGATGACCATAATGCAATTCACAATAGATATTTGAATAATTGTGGAAAACAATCCTATAGCTGGCTATAGCTTTCTCTCTATCTCTGACTCTCAGGTTTTTCCCAGTGTAATGATCAAAGCCTAGTATGTCTCTCTGCAGTGCTGTGTGATCGGTGGAGGGGGGTGGGATGCTTGTGGGCAAAATGATGAGCAACATGCTGCCCCCTTCTGGCTCGGAATACAAACTGCAGCAACATTTTTGTGCATTTCTCCACCAAGCAGTTACATAAATGTGCCCTTGGAAAATGTGAGGCTTTTAAAAATAGTTTATTCATCGATTGATGTCCACAGATATGAACACTCAGAAATGAAGAATAAATGTTTAAGAGAAGATGCTGCCAAAGCTTTAGCAATGAGGCGCCAAGCGATTGCAACAAATGCAATCACCTGTCAACTCTAATTACAATTATTTAAGTGATTTTCAAAAGCATTATCATGCACAATCAGATCTACAATCAGGACTGACACCAGGTGTCATAATCCATGCAGCTGAAATCCTACAGAATTGCTTCCAATGAAATTTGTGTCAGAAGGAAACCATGAGCGTGGTATAAGAGAGCTTACCAGTGCAATGGGTGAATGGAGAAAACAATTGCACACACTCCCCCTGCTGGTAACAGGTGTGTATATGCAAGGCCCCTGAGAAGCTGTGGCGCTGAGGACGACCCCGGAGATGAGAGCTGGAGCAGAATACTAATGCTTCAGGAGCAGCTGCAGCCCAGCATGATGTGTGAGGGTTTCCTCTGGCCACCTGTCCTTGCCGTCCTGAAGAAGAAGCTTGTTACCTAGGGAGGTGCTTCATAAGTGAGAATAACAGGGCACTGAAGCATAGGGTGCTGAAGCACAGGGCACCAAAGGACAGGGCACCGAAGCACAGGGCACTGAAGTACATGGAGCCAAAGCACAGGGCACTAAAGCACGTGGCACCGAAGTACATGGCACCGAAGGACAGGACACTGAAGGACAGGATTCCAAAGCACACAGCACTGAAGCACACAACACTGAAGCACACAGCACCAAAGCACAGGTCACCGAAGCACACAGCACCGAATCACAGGACACTGAAGCACACAGAACCAAAGCACAGGTCACCGAAGCACACAGCACCGAAGGACAGGACACCGAAGTACACAGAACCAAAGCACAGGTCACCGAAGCACATAGCACCGAAGCACAAGACACAAAAGCACACAACACCGAAGCACACAGCACCAAAGCACAGGACACCGAAGTACACAGAACCAAAGCACAAGACAAAAAAGCACACAACACCGAAGCACAGGACACCGAAGCACACAGAACCAAAGCACAGGTCACCGAAGCACACAGCCCCGAATCACAGGACACCGAAGCACAGGTCACCGAAGCACACAGCACCAAAGCACAGGACACCGAAGCACAGGACACCGAAGCACACAGCACCGAAGCACAGGACACCGAAGTACACAGAACCAAAGCACAAGACAAAAAAGCACACAACACCGAAGCACAGGACACCGAAGCACACAGAACCAAAGCAGAGATCTCTTTAATGGGGTGGGGAGGGGGGGGTAGTGTCTGTTTTAGAGAGTTCTGCTTCATTTTATGCAGACTTTGTATGTGTCTGAGGACCTGCCAGATTCTCCACACTGCATTTATGTCATCATAGTGGCTTTTTCCCCCTAACCGTACCACAAGAACCTCAAGAATAAACACAGGACTTTCAATGGGTTTGTTGTAGCTTGGAGGATGACCTCACCATATATCTGTTCCTCACACAGGTTAAGGGACTGGGCTAACTGGGGACAGAAGGAAGATCCACCACCCCCCCCCCCTCCATGGTCATCTTGGCAATAACCAGAAACCAAAAGGCCCAGGGGATCACCATGGTTACTGTTACCCAGACACTGGGCCTTTTCATATATATGTATCAACCAGAGCTATAACCCTCCACACACACACAGCTGTACACCCAGCCTGACAGGATTCTGAAAAATCACTCAATGATGGGAGAAGTTTGACAGCAGAAATAGGGCATCCAAGCTCCTTAGATGGCTGTGATCGGGACGATCTGCCCAGTCTTAAACAGGTTCTCGGTGGGATGTGCAGAATCCTCCAACTCCAGCCTGGCTTTGCGGTTCTCCCACCAAGCATGCTTGCTCCGGTGTGGCTGCAGGTGTTGCCTAAAACATACTCAGATCTCCCTACTACAGCCATTATGTCCTTCATGTGTGCTGAGCAGCTAGCAGGCATTTGTGGCAGCACATTTCAGCACCGAAAAAGAACAGGGCCTGCTTTGTCCCACTTCCAATTCAGGAGACTAATTAGAGCTTTAATTACTGCTAGTGGTTCCACAATATGGAAAGAGCAAAATGGTTAAATTATGTAAGCAGCAGTTGAACTGTTGTTTACCACGAGTGGCACCGCTGGAGTGAATTACATAAAGAATGAATTGCTCTGTACTGCCCCCTGTGGGTATGATGCCACACGGCTTGCCCCTGGGAATCAGTCAGGATTGTTCTATGCAGTTCGACACACCTTTGCCTTTGTCCCACCTCCTTGCTTAATTCTAGGGTAACAATCGAAATACGCTCTGCTCTAAAGGCAATCCTCTCTCACCGACTGGTGGGGGACCGTGAGATTCCTCATCAATGTTTTATAGTCTTCACTTGGATACTTCATACTGAGAAACACATATCAATAGATACACTTTACTGATATCAAGGGTAAACTTTGGTACGTGCAGCAGAAAATGCCCATTCCCTGCTGAAGGCAAGCAAATCCCCCCTTTCAGATATACAATAAATCCATCCATCCAATTAGGAGAGTTGGCAGCCACACTGGGACTTTTGAGAATCACTGCACATCACTCCAGGACACACACATAAAACGTAACACATCCCCTCCTTCATCCTACTGCAGATCATGCAGGCTCCCCAGGGTAAACAAAATACTTAAAAAAGAGTTAAGAAATCAGGCTCTTTATTTATTTAGCAGACAAACCAATCTGTTGAAAATACCTGTTATGGTGAGTATTTTATACTTATATGTACCTATATTCAACACAACAATCTCTTGTAAGTTAGGCTTTCATCACTAGCTCCCAGTTTATTTGCAGAATAACTGTTATCCTGTGACCTTTCAGCTGATCTTCCTGAAGTGAACTGAAGGAAACAAGTGCTTAAGAACAGGCTGAACTTTAGGGATGGACAGACGCTGCGGCAAATGATCCACATATCCAAGCTGCTTGCTACAGCAGGCTTGTGATAATTGACAGTCCATAAGCGCTTTCCCTGTTACGAGTCATGGTGTTTCATCTTAAACCCTGACTCCGTTACCTAAACTTCTGCATTAACTGGGTCCAAGTCTGCGCCAATTGGTACTGCAAATAAACAAAAATTCAGCAGTTTCATAAACCCAAATTACAAGACTGAGAAAAAATTACATGTATGACATTCAGCAAAAGCACCAACCACAAACTGCCAATGAACTTAATATTCAGCAAAGACACTTCTTACGGCTACCTTGTGAACACTGTGAATTAGCAGCCTGCTGTATAAATTATCGACCTTCCCATTACATTCGACCTCCTATCACGCTGATGCAGGCAAGATCTCAAGGCGCACATTGACGAACAGTTGGATTCCTTTCAGGCTACCCCTAAGGAGCAGTCGTCCTTCAAACACGGTGTCCCAAAGTGGCACAAATCCAGCCCGTTTAGCTGCACCGGAAAGCGCAAGTCCATCTGTTCGCACAAACTGTTTAGAGGTTAACAAGCTGCAGGAATCACCCACCACCTGTTACACGGCTGCACGAGGGGAGACCTGGAAGGTGACATCAAAATCAAATCACAGTTGGACATGACACGGACAACCAGGTCTGCAAAGCCAACTGCCCATCAGAAGCTCTGACATTCACTAAAACACAAAGGGCTTCCAACAAACGTGGCTATTTCCTGGATGTGCTGCAAAGCCATACGGATCATGCCGTACCTCCCGTTCCAGGTCATAGGTTTTCAGGTCACACTGAACGCCAGGAATCCCAGGAAAGAAAGATGAATCGGGGACGTCAAGATAATTTCAGCACCGAATTAGTTTAAAACCTTCACTATGAAACATAGAACCAGGTGGGCGTACACGGTACCAAAAAAAGGCTTAAGTGGTTTTTGTAACAGAACCATGTGACCGTGATTGGGGGGGGGGGGCGCGTCATTGTTCAGAGAAGGTGGCAGGCCGTATCACCAACAGCAACAGCTCACTGTAGGTGGCCATTGCTGTACAAACCAGTGCTCAGTTTATAAAGATTTCACGCAACTCAGGGCCAGAAAGCCTTGCATTTGTAATCTGATACACCTTTCTGAACCCAAATTCTTTTTCACTCTTTCCTGCATTATCAGCAGCAAGAATCAAAGTGGAACAATTGTCAAGACACCAGCATATCAGAAAGGTTATTTATAACAGTGGTCATTGACTTAAGGCCACTGATGAACAACTTGACACAGCAGTTCGAACTGTTCCGAAACCTACCATAACATCTGGTTTCTAATCAGCACTGCAGTTGTTTTAAAATGGCAGTTCGGAATGATTTAGACCTTCAGAGAAAGTAATTATCTTGCCTGTGTAGTTTTCCCGCAGGTTAAGTTTACAGTCAAAAGGTATTTGATGCGTTAGTTATGGTACGACAACTTCAAAACAGCACCCTGACCATCAGAGAGCATAGTACTGTTATTCAAACATGTATTAACAGAATAAATTTAGGGGAAGCAGCATGTGACGGACCAAACTTGCAGACTACATATTTGCTTCAAAGATTTCTGGCAATGACTGGCACACCAAGAAATTCTGTACTTAATGACAAGAGAAACTTCAAGATAAATGTTTATTAAGCCGCAAGGCTCCACAACAGCAGAAATCAAGTGGACACAAGCTGATCTCAGGCCGTCTCCTCCTTGGCGATGCGGTCCTTCTTGAGCACTCCCTGCAACACAAAAGCCGAATAAGCAAACATTCAATCTCTACACACTCAACAGGCCGACGCACAGAATAAGCTATACCATGTTCCCAGAGAGTGAACAGGGAGATCGTGCAAGACACATGACTCCCCTGCCTCACTGGGATTTATATAGCACTGGAATGGAACCCAAAGTCAGACTAAGGTCTGAAAGCAGGTTACGAACAGTGCAGAACCCCAGAATGCAAAGCGGTCTCAACGGGCAGGCTCCTCCAAGGTCACTTACCATGAAGGCCTTCTTTTCCTCCAGGGTCTGGAAGCGACCATGTCCAAACTTGGATGTTGTGTCGATGAACTTGAGGTCAATCTTCTCCAGGGCACGACGACTCGTCTGCACCAGAAGGGACTGAAGAGGGGAACAGAGTTCAGTAAAGGGTAGAGGGCACACTTACAATCAGCGTTGATGGCAAAGGAGTGAGAAGCATTACCTTGCGCAGAGTGAGCACCCTCTTCTTGGTCCCAACAACACAACCCTTCAGCATGACAAAGTCGTTGGTCACTTCACCATAGTGAACAAATCCACCCTATGAATGGAGATTTAAGGTCAGATTCCAAACCACAATGACGACTGACAAATAGCTTACTGCTGCTTCTTGACTAAATTACTTACCAGTGGGTTGATGCTCTTGTTGGAGAGGTCATAATCTGTGGAAGCATTGTTCTTCACCAGCTTGCCATCCTTGGTGTGGTAACCCTGGCCAATTTTGTAAATCTGGAGAGATTTAGCAAACAATGTTGTTGAAACCGTGGATGGCATGTTCCAGGGAGGTTATAGGCCATAAAGACATTTCAGAGGAACCCGTTTTCTAGATTTCTCACAAAAGTATCACTGTCCGTGAGTAAGCTTTGTTGACAGTAAAAATGTTTTAACCCAACTCGTCTTAAACCAGCTATCAAGGGCCTTGCAACATGACAATGGCTTGCACAGCAGTATCAACATTGCATGTTATACTGCACATCATGCAGCTCTACTGCAGACCAGCTCAAAGTGCTAATTCAAGAGAAAATGCGACAGGGATAGAATGCATAGCACGGCCTGCCAAACAGCAGGCTGAGGCCCGTCACTCAGCCTTACCTTTTTGTTGATCTCGGTACGGTGGTGGTAGCCCTTCTGACCGGCACGGGCCACTGAGAAGGCCACGCGGGCAGGGTGCCAGGCCCCAATACAGGCCACCTTGCGCAGACCACGGTGGGTCTTGCGGGGGAGCTTCTTGGTGTGCCAACGGCTGGTGACGCCTTTAGGGATTAGACGTGTTAGAGAGGGTATCTGCCTAGAAAATCTACTCCAAGCAACAGACTATCGGCGGTCACACACAAGATTGAGAGACTCACCTTTGTAACCGTGACCCTTGGTGACACCAATGACATCAATCATCTCATCCTGGCCGAAGACATTGCTGATAGGCACTGCCTGCTCCAGCTTCTCCCGGGCCCAGTCCACCTTGTCCGAGATGGAACCTCCGTTCAGCTGCACCTCCATCAGGTGGGACGACTTCTGCCTCAAGGGCAACAGGCGCATCTGTGGAGAGAGCAGACGTCACCGGTGATCTCGGGACTGCCGCTTGGGAGTCACCCCGCTCACTCGACAAGCACTCGAGTCTAACAGGGAGCGTGTTCTCAGAAGGAAGGCAGCATGGACAGTTTCCTCATGCTGATTCGGGCGCCACGCCTGACGCATTGTTCCGTGGTCTCATCACTGACACCTCTACCCCAAAGTCAAATGTGGCCCCCAGGACCCCAAGGTGCTGTGGGGGGCACACAACATGCTTAGCAAGAGCATCAAGTCCTGCAAGCACCCGAGGGGCTTCCAGAAGGGCTCTGTAGCTGCGTTTGAAATCAGGGGATGCATCCTTCTAAAGCTGAATCCAAAGACCAATTGTATTACAGCGGCGTGACGAGGTCGCCCCATTTCAAAGGCTCCTCCAAATGCAGCTGAGAAATGCACTACTGTCTTGTCAAGATTGCAAGATTAGTTGTGCAAACCTTTAAAGGGTTAGGGTTAGCTTACACAGGCTACACGAGTCCTTTGAAGGATGCAGCCCCTGAACTCAGACACAGCCCGTAAAGATGGCCTCTTCACTCATCTCACCTGGGTGTGGGCAATGACACGGATGACCTGGCAGTACTTCTTCATGGAGGCAAAGTCCTTCTCCAGCTGCTTCTTGCCCTCTTCATCCTGCCACTTCTTGCAGTACTTGGTGAAGGCCTTCTTCTTGGACTTGTACCTGGCATTGGGAATGGAGGTCCAGTTTGGGAAGGGGGAGAGGTCGGCACAGCTCCCTCATGGCCACGGAGGGCCAGCGGAAAGAGACTGAGCGCGGCTGCTCTCCCTCCACGTGAAGGGGGCATGAGGCAGCCGAGGCGAGGGGGTTTGGGCTCATGGCACGGCTTCTAGGGAGCCCTTTCCACCGGCCAGCGGAGCCTGGAGCTCATCAGGACGCCAGGCGCCCGAGCGGAGCTGCCATGGGATTGCCACAAGGTCAGTGTCACTGAGCACAGAACCCTGAACAGCGTTGCCCTGGCCAAAAACCACAAGCCCCAGAGTGGGGGGTCCATAGAGCCTGAATGGCTAATGCTACTAGCTAACAGTGTACTCATGGGGTGAGGACAAGCGACATGACATAACCATCTCACCAGTTCTTGTAGAAGCGGCGCTTGCACTCATCACTGATGTGCTCAGCAAAGATGGTCTTCAGCGACCTCAGGCCGCGTGGGGTCTGGACGTACCCCACAACACCCACGATAACCATGGGAGGCGTCTCCACCACCGTCACTGCCTCCACCACCTCCTTCTTGTTTACCTCTGAAGGGGGGGGGGGAAGTGGAAAAGCCCTATAAATGACACTGGCCCACCATGACTGACAATGGTAAGGTGTTACTGGCAACAATTCTCAGAATTCGACGTTCAGCATAGGGCATTAAGGCCCAATCTGTCCGCCCGTCGAGATTATCATCACAGGATAGGAGCAGCATGGATTAATATTCAGGATACTTCCGCTATCAGACCATTCTGATTGTCAGACCCAAAGAACCTTCAGTATACAGTTACATCCCCTCCCAATTACCACACACACACACACACACACAACTTCAATACCTGATTTCAATGAATAAAAATTGCACAGCAGCAGGTACTTACTGGACCCCGGTCTGTCGACCTCGCGCACGATGTGGGTCATGCCCGCCTTGTAGCCCAGGAAAGCGGTGAGGTGAACGGGCTTGCTGGAGTCATCGCGGGGGAAGCTCTTGACCTTGCCACGGTGACGCCGGCTCCTTTTGCGGGGCAGGAACCCCAGGGACCCGTGGCGAGGCGCCGAAAACTTACGGTGTGACTGCAAAGGGACAAGATTTCACACGGCGTTAGCCATCGGCGCTACCCGGTGAATCACGTGATCGCTGCGGCTCCGTCCCTGCGCCGCGTGGGAGACGCATCACAGACCCGCCGAAACTCATTTTCAGAACATTAAGTCCGTTTCGCGTTACGGCATTAGTTAATTTATACGATTTGTCGACTAGGAATATACAAAACATCGTCTTAATACACAACAGTAATCCGTGTACTGGCCGCGCAGAGCAGGCCTCGACGGCTATGCTAATCCGTAAACTACCCAGCAAAGGTCGACAGCACTGACCATTTCTATTAAACTTACACAAAAAGTCATCAAACCCGACCAGATGCATTTACAGATAGACCGAGTCAGTCTGCCACGTGAAATAGGTTAGACCCAAATCAAGACAGGTCGCACGGCCTGGTCACGTTGTAAAGGCACAGAGAGCATATTCCATTTACACAAACTGCAGAACAATTTAAGCAATTACACATTAGCATACATACGACAAATGCTACTCAGCCATGCTAAACGGAACCGCTAAGAATCAATTTAAGAATCGAGGAAAAGAAACTAGATGTAGCTATAAGTTAATATTCAACAGACGCAATCAAATAAAAATATAACCACAGCTGATCGTATTTGACTCTGATAAACATTATTATGTGGATAACAGGACGATATCCTTTAAGATGATTTCAATTTCAAAAGGATTGCAGATGAGAAAACAAGACGATATCAGCACCCACCATATTGCCTCCAATCCGACTAAAAGAGAAAGAGCGAGTAGGCGGTCTTTGTTATTTATAACGGGACGTTCAGACGCATGACGCCATACGTCACACACGTCATGTTTGACACGTGGGAGGTAGCCGCTTGCAAGGGGCTAGTGTGCACCTACTGATACTGCCAGTTGTGGTCGCTGTTTCACAAATTAAACCTTATACTCTATTGGTTTAAAAATGTTTTTAAACCAATGTGCTGGACCTTAACACCTCCCTCTGATAACTGGATCCCGGACTTCCTGACAGACGCCGCAGTCCGGATCAGCACATCCACCTCCAAACTGAGCACTGGCCCCCTCTAGGGCTGGTTTCAGCCCACTGCTGTTCACACTGCAGACTCATTATGTAGTTCCAGGTGCAGCTCAGACCACATTATCGGGTTTGTTGGTGACACCACAGTGCTGGACTCACCATTGGTGAGTCAGCGTACGGAGAGGAGGTGCTACTGCTTTCAGACTGGAATAAAGGAAAGGCTGAAGGAGATGCTTGGTGACTTCAGGAGGACCCAAGCCGACCGATGGGGACCACACACAACCAGGCCCACAGTGGAGAGAGCAAAGAGCCCTGCATGGCATATGCGATGACCTCATCTGGACTCTCGACACCTCGTCCTTAACCAGGAAATCACAGCAGCACCTCTACTTCCGGTGGGGGCTCAGGAAAGTGGTTGGCATCCTCAACCACGTCCCATAAAGAGCAGCACAGAGAGCGCCCCGGCCAGCCCTGTCGCATTTACCACAAACACAGTACCCACAATGCCTGTAACACATGACCCCCAGTCCCCCTGCTCCCCCCAACCGTCCCGTGCCACAATTTACCAATAAGGGTTTAATACACCAGTCTGCCCCCCCAACTTGCATTAGCCACTTTCAGAGGTGGCAATTTCAGGTCCAGAAAGCAAAAATCCAGACCATGATTTACTTTCAACCAACCAGTTGAGCATAAAGAGTCACAGCACAGAATACTCAACTGGTTGGTTGAAACAAAATCTTGGTCTGGATTTGTACTTTCTGGACCTGAAATTTCCACCTCTGGCCACTTTAATGCACAGCCCTCTCCTTTTCTACAGAATGTCATTTACCTCTCAGAGTCTGACTCACCTGTTTTTATGTTCAGTGTCTGTATTTACTTCCTGTGCTGCTTGCAGTTACACGTGACATCACACCCGTCTTATCCTCCCTTCATTGGTTACCAGTTAAGTCTCGGATTGACTATAAAATACTACTGTTAACCTATAAAGCACTGAATGGCCTTGCACCAGAATACCTTAGTGATCTGCTGACCACATACAATCCCCCGCGCTTGCTTCGATCTCAAGGCGCGGGATATCTGTTAGTACCTAGGGTAGAAAGAGCTACGGCAGGCTGCAGAGCTTTCTCCTACAGAGCTCCTCAGCTGTGGAACGGTCTTCCCCCGGATGTGCGGGTTTCAGGCTCACTCTCAATATTCAAGTCTAGACTAAAAACACACCTATTTAGTTTAGCTTATAGGGACACTAGTTCTAGCTCTAGCTAGCTTCTCACTCCCAGTTAAACCTATAGTGTGAGGTGTAGAGCTGTGTGGGGATCGGTGCCATTGGCTTTGGATAAACTGAATTGACAGTGCTGTCACTCTAGCTTCACAATTGCTTGTGGGATTGGAGTGATGACATTTCAGGGACTCCCCATGTCTGCATTCCCACCTGCCTCTCCCTCCTACTTATGCTGCCATAGCCATATCTGCCGGAGCATTGCACTTCATATTGCACTCAACTACGTTATAGCACTGCCTATAGTCTCCCTTACTTTGACTAATTGCATTTATTTCCCCTACTTCTCCTGGGGGGTGCTGCCTGGAGATCTCAATCTATCAATATGTCCAGCACACCCTGCAACATGTGACGCTGCCACTACCAATGACGTCCGTGCATCCAGCTCACCGTTCTGCCTGAGTCATCTTCCATGTATGACCCGCTCCCTGCCTTCTGGCTGCCTGGTGATTGGAGGGAGCGTTGGCACCGGCTTGTCATCTCCCCCCTGCTCCCCATTTGTGTTTCAGATTTAACTGTATTTGACTCTCCCTGCCGGCCCCTGGAGGATGGGCCCCCCCTTTGAGTCTGGTCCCTCCCAAGGTTTCTTCCTTCTAGGGAGTTTTTCCTTGCCACTGTCGCCTATGGCTTACTCAATGGGGGCTTTGGGCGGGGATGCTGTAAAGCGCTTTGGGACAATGTAATGTTGTGATAATGCGCTATACAAAAATAAATTTGTTTGTTGTTGTTGTTGTTGTTTGTGACCTCAGGGCTGTCTGGTCCTACCCTCACTCCCCTGTGATATGCTGCTATAACCGTCCTGGTATGTACTGCATCTTGCTGAATCCATCTACTGTACTTTGCACTGTCATGTAAGAAAACACAGAAAAGTGACAACTTCTAACACAGTATTATCCAGTTAGCAGAATCAAAATACATAACTAGTAATAATGCATTTTAATGTTTCACAGGAGAAACAGCCTCAGCGTTGATAGGAGTAAATTAAACCATAGTTAAGTGTAGTGCTATGCCTTAAGAAAACTGTTAAAAATTAATTCAAATGTTATTTAAACATATATGAGCATGTCGAACATAAATAATTTGGTTAATAATTAAAATTATGAATTTCCTGCTGTCCTTTATAGGAGGTGAGAGGAGTAGAGTGCCAGGGAGAAAGGGAGATATGGGAAAACTGGGGAGGTGTTGTGGAAAAGGGGGGGGGACAAGGCGAGGAATAAGGAGAGGAAGGAAGGAGCAGAAAAGAGGGCAGAGAAGTATGCGGAGATGGAGAAGGAAAGAGAGAAAGCGACGAGTGAGCGAGAGATCGACACACGAAGACAGGAGAGAGATCAGGAGAAAGAGGAAGAAAGAAGGAGAGAGAGGGAGGGGAGAGAGGGAGGGGAGGAGAGAGAGGCTATCACAATAAACTCAGACAGAGATTGAGCCACAGAGATTGAAGGGTGAGATACAGTAGAAACAGAGCGATTGGATTTTTTAAGTGGTTGAGAGGGGAGCCGCCCTTCAGCTACGTTCTCAGCTTCTCAGGTGGCGACGCAGGGAGAGAAAAGCGAGGTCGGTCGGCCACAGCTAGCCCGTTATTTGAGGCTTAATTTCAGACCTGCCGACGGGCGGAGAACAAGCATCTGAAGATGGAGGGGATGGCGTACGGAGCTGGCAAGGCTGGCGGAGCCTTCGACCCACTCACGTTTTTCCGGCAGCCGTACACTATACTTCGGATGGTATCCTGGGTGAGTAGGAGCGCTTTTAAAATCACAGTTAAATAAAAAGAGACGCGCAGGCGATTTACCAGCAGCGAGCTGGCAGGATAAGCCCGTCGTGGAGGCTGGACATGTCTTAAGACGCAGGGTTTGCGGCGCCCTGTTTTCTCACGACACAGGTGCTGCTTTTACGGGTGCGGGCAGGTGAGCTGATCGGAGGGCTTTCAGCATCTGCGTATTTATGCCACAAATTGCACTTTTAGTTTTATTAATGCAACCAGAGCGGTCACGATGACGGTTCTTGTTGCGACGGCTCGCCATCCTCCTCCCCCGATTAAATTAAAGGTGAGCTGCGTCCCTGTAGGATTTCGCACTAAGCAGAAGCGCAGAAAAAAAACCCGATGCGCGTCAGCCGAAGCGGCACATTTACATCTTAGCCCCGCTTTTGCATAAGCAGCATAGTATGAAAACGCTCATGAAAACACTCCTCGTGCTTTTCGAATTTAAATTAAACGAAAGGTGATGCAAACGCCAACGAAATTCCCACATAGGGGGTGTATCAGCGCCCGGCCCCCCCGTTCTGGCTCCGTGTCAGCGCCCAGCAGAGCCTCTTTGCGTCAAGGTTAGAGCCACTCCAATCTGTTGATTTCTCTCCTGTATGAAATGGACGGCTGCTCTGACGTTTGTGCGATGTGTACACTGATTACTATTATTGTCACAAGCGATTGGGATGTGTATATGCAACATTTACATGCCCTGTTTGCACTAATTGTACATTACCACCCCAAAGACGGCATCTGCAGGCTCCTCTGCTTGCTACTTAATATTTTGTTTCTTAAATAGGACCCGCTGCTCGTATTAATAGGTAACTTGTACCGGACGGTATTCACGGAATTGAATTGTTATTAAATGCTTATATATTTGTAGGAACTGTTTGGCTCACATTGATTCTGTGAAATGATCGAAATAGCTGACTTAATCACTATCGAAAGGCACTATAATCCCTGCGGTCTGTTTGTGTGCGAAGCGGGACCTTATAATAAAGTAACCCCAGTTTTGCAAAGTGGACGGGATACTTTAAAGTCGGTTTTTACAAAATCCCGCCCTGCCTTATCCTGCTTATCGTACACAGGTTGGGGGGTTTTCCATTCAGGTTGCATTTTTAAAAATGTGCCTTGTGTCATTTTTTTATATTTTTTTTTGCAAAAATTCGAAATGGACTCAGTGTAGGACTTATTTTGGCTCGTGGTTTAACTACATTCGAATGACACATCTAATACTTACTACGCCTCGTACACCTTAGAAATGTAAATAGGCAGAGTATTCAGCCTCGGCGCTGCGTGGGATTGCTTTGTCCTGCATCCTTAGCAGTTGTTTTCAGGGAACTGTTGCTTTGATGAAACACGGACCGTAGCGTGGTTTGCTTTGCCACATTGCTGGTCGCCTGCCAGAAAATGGCCCCCAATTACATTTTGTACACTCATTACGCCCAAAGTATTCGATGACCTTTAATGGGCTACCTCAGCCGCGTTGTAATGCCCACACAATGAAGTCTCCAGCAAGATTGAATTTCAGTGGCACCTTGGCACCAAATAAAAATCATTGTCCTGCACTTTTCCTGCCCTTAAGCTCGGCGTCTGTATCATCCTGTCTGTTACGCTACTGTTTACGCACGTGTGCATCCACACTCCTGATGTTGGTTAGATATGGTTAGTTGCTGTGCTGTACCTACCTTCCCTATAGTTAAGCATTCTGGAGCGAGGAAGACCACCCACTTGTGTCCATGTCCAGCAGTGTGTATATGCCTGCATGAATCAGTCTGTATCAGGATAAAGGCATCGATGAAGGACGTTGTTCAGATCCTGGTTTGCTCTATTGACTGAATGTGTTAGGGACCAGCATTGCTTGAATTACATGCGGTCACACAAATAGTCTTGTTTGGCAGGCTAGGACACTGAACCCCTTTCTGCTGAAGGAAGTGACATCATTCCCCCCCCCCCCAACAGGACCAGGTATTCCATCTTTGTCCCAGGCCATGCTGGCTCTGAGCAGGAGCTGCACTAGCAGGACCTGTGCTTAGATCTACCTTCACCACTGATTTCTTCCTGGATATTCACAGAGAGAGTGACTTTGTGTTACGTAAAAGCAGAGCTTGCTGTCTTCAGGGTAATGGATCGCATACGCTGTGCTTTTGGCTCGTGGTCCCTCAGAGACGAATGGTATTCAGCCAGTATCTCAGCTCTGAAAGGTCCATGATGAATAAAAGCCACCCACCTTGCTGTGGAGATGGTCCAGCTTTCACCAGGCCTTCCCGTTGCTGCCCGGTCTGTCCATTTCTCTGTTTTTCTCCAGCTCTCCTCGCCTATGTTGGCTCTGCGTGACTCTAATTCGCTTGGATGCGAGGGGGACTTCTGCTCAGGGCCCGGAATTAACCATAATATGGGATCGCAGGTGACGCCGCACATGTCCTCCTTGTCATGAGGTGATGCCTGATGTCTGAGCAACAAGACTGCAGGCCTCAAAAGCTACTACTGTACCTGCTGTCTGCTCACGTTTCATGCTGTGATGTCATCATCTGGCTAATGACCCGCTGTCGTGCCTGCATGGCGTTCTGGCTCTTCCTTCCATTAGTACCCCTATCTGATTTGCTATCTGTGCACACCTTGGATTAATTGCACTGTCATCCCCTTCAGTCTTGAACCATGACGTCACTGTCCCTTAGGGTGCGCAGGTCCTGATACTGCCGTACAAAGACAAAACTACGCTGACACTGAAACCGGGAAGAGAGATCTTTGCCCTGTGTTTTCAGTGTGGATTTTACAGTTAGGTTTTATCTATAGGTTCATTCCCACACATCATTTTCTTCAAAACTGAGCATAGTTGAACAAAGATTATATTATTGCAAGATGAAACAGAGCTGAGACGACCCGATTTTCAATCATAATTCGATTTTAAAATTGGCGTTTTCCCTTTGCACAGCGGTAAATTGCAACACACATGGGATTTAAGGACTGGACACCTGCACCCAGGCTTGATGCTGCTTTGCAGACTTACAGTTGTGACGTTAATGCTTGGGAAGGTCTGTGGCTCTATGCTTGTTGGACGGTTAGACGCTGTTGTCCAGTGATTTTCCTACATGACCTGATTTCAAAGCTAAACATAGTTTTGCACCTTGAAATATTATGTATTTTTTCTATATATCTCTCTCTCTCTCTCTCTCATGCACGCACAGAGACACAGACACACTTGTTTCCCTGTTTCGAGAACAGGGTGGCAGGACATTGACCTCCTGGGGGCGACTTTATCATGTAAGTGAGCTCACTGTAGTATGTCCTTGTGCAGTCCATGTTTTACAGGATTTGCTGTATAGATCACATGACAGAAATGTAATGTGTTCAGACCCAGGACTCCAGTGCGGGATGCTGTAAGGACACTTAACACTGCCCGTGTGGGTAAGGGGAACGTAGCCCAACACCGCTTCCGTGAGCGAGGTGGGAGCCACGCGTGATCCGTCGTGATGCGTGACACTGCATAGGCACGTCCTGTCATGCCAGCGGGACAGAGGTGGCTTTTTGGGGTCACTGTCACTGCCGGTTCCCTTCACATTTTTCTGGCTTACTGTGTGTTTGTCTACCTGCCCTCCCTGTCCTGCCACCATTTTAGTCTCTGTGACCTTGTGCTTAGTGAGATGGGGAGAGAGAGAGGGAGGGAGAGAGAGAAAGGGGAGGGAGAGAATGGGGGGGGAGAAAGAGAGAGAGAGAGAGAGAGAGAGGGGGAGAGAGAATGTAAAAGATGGAAGGAGGGAGGGAATATGATTGTCAGTGATTGTGAGTCACACACACACTTATAGAACCCAGAAAGTGTGACTGAAGTAACTGAAAGAGTCATTCGTTGTCGTGACCCCCACCATTCTGACTGATCCCAGCCAGCTTACGTTGGTGGGGAATTGGCTCAGAATCTGAGGCCATGATACTTGATTGTTACTTCCAGGTGGGGGGGGGAGTTTAAGTATGTCAGGATCCTGTTCACCAGTGACACTAAGAGGGAAGGTGAGAGTGGCAGGCGGATCAATGCAGTGACTGCTGTTCTGTGGGCCCTCAGCAGGTCCGCAGGCTAAGTGACAGCTAAGTCGTCAAATGAGACTGCAGTTTATTGGCCAGGCTGTGGACCTCTCCTCCTCCTCCTCCTCCTCCTCCTCGAGTTGTACAGCAGGTAGTTCTGGTTAAGTCTCCTCTCTGCATGCCGTAATACTTTAATAGCTCAGAGAACGCCTCCGCAGCAGAAGACCATCGGTCTAGGTCCTCACGTGGGCTCCAGCACAATGCCCACGTTCACCACAAGCTGCAACCTTGTGACCATATTAAGTGGCAAATGCAGGTTAATCTCCTGGATGCAGAGATGGACTAGGCATCGCGCGTAGGGGCAGCATGTCGGCAACTACAGCATTGCTGGGTCTGTATGCATCTCTGTGGCCGACTGCTGGTCCCATCGTCTGTCATGATAGATGTAGCGCTGGCTACAGGCAGGTCAGGTGACCCAAGATGGGGGGCAATTTGAGATAAGGAGGCAGCAAAGTAGGGGAAGGTTTTACTGTGGACCGAGATGCTGGATATGGATCATGCTTTTTCTTCTTTCAAACGTGGAGTCAGCCTTTGAAATTCTGCGCTCTGTCGCCCTTCCTGTGGGCTTAGAATAAATAAATATAAAGGAAGGTACGCGCTCTCTGCGTGGTGCAACCCTGATTCCCGTGTGCATGTCCTCCAACAGGAGCAGGGGGCGTAAAACGATCATCAGCATGTTAAAGGAACCAGAAAACCTCATTGAGGCAGAGCCACTAATTGTGGGTTGAAATAATTAAGGGCGATGGGAGAGAGCGGCCTGTGGGATAGCGATCGAGCCTCGTCGCCGCGATGTGGCGGCCGTGGCTGTCGTATTCCAAGCGTGCAGAAGGTGGCGCCGAGAGCAGTGGTGGCTATTCAGAGCTCCGGGTCCATGTTTAAAAATGGCAGCAGCAGGAGGCTGCGAATGTG